AGGTTAATCTGCTCTGATTTGATCGCTCGCGGAATAGATATTGATCGTGTAGACACAGTAATAAATTATGACGTTCCTATATATATGAAAAAATATGTTCATCGTGTCGGAAGAACGGCTAGAGCCGGACGTAAAGGCGATGCATATAGCATTGTTGAGACTCAAGAGGTATTGCGTTAAAGTTATATGTCGCGGCCGAAGCTGAAAATTAGGGACCTCGATTTAAAAATATAAACCCTACCACAATCCATTATACTCTATTGTTACCAAAACTTACCCTAAATCTTAACTATTAAAAAAGCCAGAATAATGCATCCAAAAAAGATTTGAAAATTTTGGATTAGGCCATACAAATTTAATTACTTGGTTTTATAAAATTTATATATAAAATTTTTTTAAAACGCGCCCGGTTATTAAAACATAAAAAATTTTTTTAGAAGTTTTCAAATTTTGATCTGGCCGGGTTACGAAAACCAATTAATTAATTTTGCATGGCCTTAAGTATTTAAATTTACAGCTTCATCCGCGACATTATATATAACGAATTTGTGCATAATCAAATATAATGAAATATATATCTCAAAGGTTCGGCACTTTAAAAATATGTTAAGAAAAGCTGGCCATCTGGATAAAATCAAAAATGTCAATATTAAGTCTATCAAACTGGAGCCTTTAATGGTTATTTACAAGGTAATTAGTGTGAAATTTTCATAAGACTTTATCAGACTCTCATCGACCTTTGCATCAATTATATTAGAAATCTTTGGAAGCATTCAGAGAATACATGATAAACTAGGGTTTGTAAAGTCTTAGGTTCGGGACTTTAGGACCCGGTCTTTAAACCTGGTCTTTAAAGACCAAGTCCAAATTTAAGGACCTAGGGTCCCTACGTCTTTAAAAAGTCCTAATACACAAATCAAAATTTATTAAAATAATAAAATTCATTTCAATTGCAAATTTCTGCTATTGCATAATTCCAGGCAAGTATTTCAAATATCCAACTGTTACTATATGCCAGGTGGAGTTGTAAGCTTAAATGGATGTAAATTATTATAATACAGTATATAAAATGATACGTGATAGATATTTTGATTTTTTTTTAAAAAAAATATCTATATATTTGCTTAGATAATAGAGCTTTTGTGAGTAAAGTAAAAATAGTAAGCCACAATACTAACATTAGCGATAGATAAAATTATTTCTGGCTAACTAGAAGAAAAAGCCAGTTGAAATAACTAATAAAGTTTAGTAAAACTTAACAATATACTTAGGTAGATTAGTTATTGTATAGTGCGTACAACCTAGTCACAGCAAATAAAATTAATGAAATTCAAATTGCTAATCCTTCTTCAAAAAAAATAGTAAACAAAAAATAATATCTTAAAATATTAAATCAAAACATGCTAAACACTTTCAAGTTCTTGAATTTTTTTTAAATCTATTTATAAAAAAGTTATAGCAGATTAAAGTTATAGTATTTTTATAATTAATTATAATATTTGGCCACCTTTTATATATATAAAAAAAGCAAATTTGGCCTCTTTAAACAATTAATTTCATTTTATATATATTAAAAATTTAAAATTTGGCCACTTTATATATAATAAAAATTTAAGATTTGGCTACTTTATATATAAATATTACCAAATTTTCAAAATGGCCTCTTCATATATATAAAAAATAAAATTTGAATTTGGCCGCTAAAAATTTTTATTTGCTGCGACTAGGTTGTATGCACTGTAGTTCAAAAAAATTTTAACTCCTTATATTTTTTGTTTGTTTAATAAAAGAAAAATACGTATGTTGAGGTTTTGAAGCAAATAACTACTGTAAATTAATATTTTTTATTTTATTTAATAAGAAGACAAGTTATTACAAAGTAATATTTTAAAATAGTCTATATCACTGTAAAAATTATATTGTCTTTGTATAGAAACTAAAAATATATGAATCAGTATATACTATATATATATACAATTATTATTTTATTGAAAAATACTTAAAATAACCAGTAGTGGTCATCACCACCCCTAGATATATTTAGGGTTAGGGTGCAGTTACAGGGATTTTGTATATATATATAATATAATGTAGATATAAGGTCCCAAATGTGAAGTTTTCGGGAGTTCTGAACATTTTTACTTAGAGTACCCGATCCAGTTTACTTAGTACGTTTTTGAGATATAAGCACCCTGGTGATGATCACCACTGGTAATATTTATATATTTTATTTTAACATTTTTAATAACAAGATTTCACATGTTAGTATCTGATTTTTATAAGAAAAATTAAATATCTAAATTATTTATTTATTCCTCGTTTCCTCTTATTTAACTTAGTTTCGGCATTATCATTTGAAGTTTTCATCAAGCTAGTAACATCACGTCCAAGTTTCTTCAAAATAAATCTAGATCCTGATTTTATATCTTTTGCAGCAGCTTGTTCAATTTCCGGTAAACTTTTCATCAAAATCTTTCTAACTTCCGATCCAGTCTCGTTATCTTGTAATAATGCTAATATTACAAACGATGCAGAGGCATTGCAAGCATAAAATATAATATCCTTTTTAATACTTTTAAATAATAATGGCGCAAAATGTAATTCAACTCGTTTATCTTGTTTATCTTTGTAATGTCCATTATCTAATCTTTGATACTGGCCTTGTACCAAAATTTTAAGGAATCGATTTGCATATGTTAACATGATATTATTTTCATTTGATGATGTATCTCCTATTAAAGTCGGTATATTTTCCAATATTGATCTTTTTTCTTCAATAGTTGCTTCACCACAAAGTAATGTCTCACAAAAGATCTGTGTCATAAAAGTATTTGAAAGCATTTCTGCGGTATTTTCCTTAGCATAATTAATTAATGCAGGAGATATGGCTTTTCGCAATTCATTTGTACGAATAATTGGATCTTTTTTACTATAAAGAAAATTTAAGTTCGATAGTTAGATATAGTATTATTATTTTAAATAAAAGAAATATTAATAACTAATATAATTAACCTAGTTTTTGCACGTATTTCATCGCCTTTTTCAAGTAATTGAAATGTATCAAAGCTTAAATACATTTTAGACCTTGCTCTTCCGACCAACAGGTATAAAATCACACGATGTCCAAATTTATCTTGCATTATTGTTTTAAAAACGTTTGGTTTAACTATTTGCTAAGTAGAAAAAAAAAATTAATCATAATATAAATAAATTTCTAAACGAATTGATATTACATTACTTACATCTATAATATATTTGGTGACCGATACAGTGTCATCAACAACATCAAATGCTCTCAACAACACCAAGTATCCATATTCTTCCTTGCATATTTTTGCAATATATTGGAACGTCATAATTTATTACTGTGTCTACACGATCAATATCTATTCCGCGAGCGATCAAATCAGAGCAGATTAACCTAATATAATAAACATTGTAAACTAAAATTAGTAAATTTAGTCATGAGAATTTTTTCACAAATATGATGATTGAATTCAACTAACAATTGAATTTCACCATGCTTGAATTTATTTAAAATATTTTTTC